GCCGACTAAGCGGCGTGAGTGTGGTGCGGTCTCGAAAGAAGGAGCGGGAAGCACCCGAGTGAAGGGTGAAGATGTGGGTGGCCAGAGCCGATGCGGTACCTGAGAGCGCAGACTCACTAGCACCTGGGTCAGCAAACTCACAGGCACCTAGAGCAGTAGCCTCACCAGCACCTAGAGCAGCAGCCTCAATGTCCAGGTCAGGCGGAAAACACCGGTAACAGTCACCCGCATCATTAATAGTCACAGCATACATGGCAGCAAGAATAGCATCATAGTCAAGATCAAAGATCGCAACACCCACCCTAAACAGCTCGCCCCAGCGAGGGATCTCAGTAGCGTCGGGGAACTGGTGGCGCCAAGCGTCTGTAAGACGGCCGAAGCAGCGCTGGATGGAGTGCGGACCCCCACACTGCTCACCCGCGCAGTCGCCGGTAAAGAGAACGTAGGTACAAGGGCCAGCACCCCCACCCCGCTGACGAGCAGTGTACCATTCACGAAGCTGCTGGGGGGAAGGGGTCTCACGAGTGCGCTGCTGCTGCTGCTGCTCGCGCTGACCACCACCAAAGCCAACCCTCTGTGTAGAGCCGCCCCGACCAGCTCCACCTTCGCCGCCGCTACCTCCACCACCGCCTCCACCTCCGCCACGTCCACCCGCACCGCCACCACCGCCTCCTCCTCCGCCTCCACTGCCGCTAATAGCGCCCCCACCCCCGCCACCACTCCCACCACGACCGCCACCCCCTCCGCCGCCTCCACCGCCGCCTCCACCGCCCCCATCAGCTCCTCCAGCGCCCTTGCCCCCGTTGCCCTTGCCTGAGCGGCGTCTCCCGCAGGGGTAGACGCCGCGCCGACCGACTCAAGACCAACGAGGTCGGCCGCAGCAGCAGAGGCAACAGAGGGCAAGAGGGGGGAGGGGGAGCACCCCTCAAAGACAGGGGTACGAGGGTCACCACGAGAGGCTCCTACAGCGACTATGCCCTTCTCTTCTGCTAGGTGGCGCTCCTCGAGAAGGTCAACGGTGAAAGTGGTGGGGCAAACAGAGAGAAAGTGGTCCCTGACCAAGTGAAGGGTGTCAGGGAGCCGGGTGACTAAGTAGTAGAGGGTGATGTACATAGGGGGGGGTTCTTGGCGCAGAACTCAGCAGGAAGCACAGCGCGGTAGCGAATGTCACTAGTGCAAAGGTGTGTAATGAGATCAGCGGCTGTGGGAAAAGCGGCGAGGTCAGGGAAGAGGTATGGTAGTATGAGGCGGCTAAGAGCAACAGTGGCAGGGGAAGAGTAGCGTGCAACTACAGCGTCGTACAAGGTCTTAGCACTCTTATACTGACTAAAATGCGCGCGCTCAGCGGTCGGTAAGTGGCGGCGCACAGCAAGGCAGGTAGCAGCATCGCGCGTGGCCCACTGTGAGCGAACAGTGGCGTCAGCATCAGCAGGAGGGGCAGGAGAGGCACCAGAAGTGAGGTCTAAGAGGGAGCGACCGTCTGCCCTATCGCACTATAGGAAAAGTTGCAGATCATCTACCCAGACCTCAAAGTCAACAGCCCGACCTCAGCGTCAAAGGTGAGATCACTGGGGGTGGCCATGACAGCAGTAGACTAGCAGAGAGAGCAGCGGGGTAGGGCAGTGCAGTGGCAGAGGCGCTGCTCTTGCCGGGCAGGTGAGGCGGGTTGAGGCAGGCCGGCAGGGACAGGGCCACGACTACAGTGACTGCGGCGTCTCGGCTGCGGGGCGGCTCGGCGGCTCGGCGGCTCGGCAGCTCTGCAACTGGGCGGCTCAGCGGCTTGACGGCTGGGTGGCTCGGCGGCTCGGCGGCTCGGCGGCACAGGCGGCTCGGTAGCAGGGCGGCTCGGCGACTCAGCGGCTCGGCGGCTCGGCGGCTCGGGCGGCTCCGCAGCTCGGCGGCTCGGCGGTGACGGCGGTTGGGCTGCTCGACGGGGCCGGGAAGGGCGGCGGAGGGGCCGACGATGGCGGCAACGGGGCCGCAAGGGGCGGCAATGGGGCCGCTGAAAGGGCGGCGACGAGGCCGCTGAGAGGCGGCGGTGGGGCCGCTGAAGGGCGGCTACGAGGCCGCGTAAGGGCGGCAATGGGGCCGCGGAAGGGCGGCAGTGGGGCCGCGAAAGAGCGGCAACAGGGCCGCGGAGGGGTGGCAACGTGGCCGTTGAAGGGCGGCAACGAGGCCGAGGGGAGGAGGGGCCGGCGACGGGGTCGCAAGGGCGGCGTGACAGGGCCCCGAAGGGGCCGCGAGCGGCCGTGAGAGGGACCGCACGGGGCCGAAAGGGGCCTCAACGGGCCGCGAAAGGGGCCGCAAGGGGCCGTGGTGGCGGCGCAACGGAGCTGCGAGGGCGGCGCGACGGGGCCACGAGGGGCCGCTAAGGGGCCGCGAGGGGCCGCGAGGGCGGCGCGATGGGGCCGCGAGGGCGGTGCGACGGGGCCGCGAGGGTGGCGCGATGGGGCCGTGAGGGTGGCGCAACGGGGCCGCGAGGGCGGCGCGACGGGGCCGTGAGGGCGGCGCGACGGGGCCGCTAGGGCGACGCGACAGGGCCGCTAGGGACCGTGAGAGGGGGCGCTATAGGGCGCGACTCGGGCAGGGGCTTAGCGCGCTCCGGGCAAGAAAAAAAAAATCGCTATTCGGTGGGCCCTAGGAACAGTTCCCACGAGGGAACCTGCTCTGATACCATGTGGAAATTAGAACGAGAATGATGACTAAGGAATGAAAGTGATACAAATATGAGACCCTAGAATTGTGTACCCCTTAGTGTCTAACCCGCTACAGCCTACACAGGCTAGATCATATAAGTTTTACACGCGAAACCTGTCAGGACCTCGAAAGTCAAACAAAGTGAAAATGGGTGCTGACTCGCTTGAATTTCGAAATTCGTTACTGTTTTAATCAGGATTGAAAGAATAAAATTATACATGCGCTTATAATAAATCAGGGTTTTACACGGGGGGCGCTTATAATCGAGGAACGGCCATAAGTGCCATGCTCCATATATAGGCGCCGGCGCCTTTAGTCGGACGGCGCCTATATCCGGGGCCATACGGTATCACACCGTGCGATGATATTACGTCCTTACCTGGCATTGCTTCGTTGTACAGAGTTTACCCAGCCACATACTTCGGGGACAGCCAAGCATCCATACTAGCATTACAACTTCCAAAACATTTTGCGTTTTACCATTAGCGCATCCATTACGCTTTCTCATACCTCTGCTTCGAGTGTAACTTTTCTTTGCCTTGTCTGATCAACGTTGGCCCGTTTGATTGCACACGTACGGTAACAACAACTTCCAACACCCAGTTGATGCTTCAAATGTTTTGGCCACAAACTAGCGAAATTCGTGGCAAGTAACAGAACAATAGCTATGTATATGGTAGAACAGGGCGCTCTAGAATCTCAATTTCTCGAGTGGTAACACTTCGCACGCCAGCTTTACCACTGCACTGCCCCTGTGTGACATTCAGGCAACAGGCGCACATGGCATGCAAATTCTGACATAAGACAAGCCTGAACAATGGCAGTGAAAAAATAGATCCAAAGTTCCTCCAGCCCCCACACATAGGCACAACAGGATGTCTAGTGCATACCGTATCACAAACTTGGTCTACACAATAGATTGAATTGTTTGTGGCACGTACCTGTGTCTCGTATGTCCTCCAAACACCCTGGTAGCGCCAGTTGAAGAGTAAGCCCAGATGAGCGTGTTGAGCCCACCATACTTTACTAGCACCGAATTGCCAGGTCCGCTCTTCGTAAACCTGTTAAAGGAGGGCAAGTGAGAATTTAGACCAAGAATTGTTCAAAACGTGAGGGCGTCGTCATACAGCCATCGTACATGTGCGCACCAGCGTGTGCATTGAACTACAGGGTGTGCGAGCTTCGTTTGGCCCACCTTTTGTGAACCTAATACGTAAGGGTGGATGGCGTGAGAAGCTGATGAGGAGGCATGATATGATAAGGTAACAAAGGGCAGGCTTAGTTCGAAGCAAACAAGCTAAAAAATCCACCAAAAGCAAGCACAGGAGTTCACATTAAACAAGCGCAGAAACACACATCATAAGCACAGGAGCGCATAACACAAATAGGCCACGTACGACCTGTTTAGGCCCTGCGCGTCGCGTCCGCTGCCCGCGTAGCCCACTTTCGGCCCCGCGCGCTGTGTCAGCCGCCCGAGCAGCCTGCCGCCGGCCCGCGCGCCGCGTTACCCGCCTGTGCAGCCTGCTGCTGCCCGGCCCGTTGCCTCCTCCGGTCGCGCAGCCCGCGCCTACTCTGCACGCTGCCTTTAGGAGCCTAGCGCGACCTCCTGCTGCACCGTGAGCCGCCTTAGGAGCCTACGTGTGGCCTCCTGCTGCACCGTGCGCCGCTTTAGAGGCCCGAGGGACGGCCCCCTGCTGCACCGTGCGCCGCTTTAGAGGCCCGAGAGACGGCCCCTTGCTGCACCGTGCGCCGCTTTAGAGGCCCAAGGGACGGCCCCCTGCTGCACTGTGCGCCGCTTTAAAGGCCCGAGGATCGGCCCCCTGCTGCACCGTGCGCCGCTTTAGAGGCCCGAGGGACGGCCCCCTGCTGCACCGCGCACCACTTTAGAGGCCCACGAGCGGCCCGTTTCTGCCTTCCGTGCTGCCTTAGGAGTCCATGCACCATCACTGCAGCCTTGCACACAGTTCCTCCTTACTTGCCTTTTGCCTTGCCGCTTGCGCACTAGACTTGCCTACATTGCACGCATGGCGACTCTCAACGGGCTTGCGTTCGATCCAGACGATCGCCCAGTAGAGTTCCTCACCTGGCTTGACGACCTGCAACTGTTCCTCATGACTGATGCCAAAGACGGTGTTTCCCTGTTCGATTACGTGTCTGGCAATGCCGTTGCTCCTGCTGACACTGCGCCTGCTCTAGACCGCTCCTAGTGGCAGACCCGCGATGCTGCTGCGCACCTCGCTATTCGCAACCACCTTCCGATCACATAGCGTGCGCATTTTAGCCAGCACAAGACTGCCAAGGCGATGTATGACGCTGTAGTTGCCCACTACTCTTCTCCGGCCACTGCAGCCCTAGGTCGACTTCTGCTACCCTACCGGTTCCCCGACCTGTCCTCGTTTACCACCACTGAGGACCTCATCTCTCACCTACGCGCTAGTGACACTCGTCTTTGTGCCGCCCTTCCAGCCGAGTTCCTCGCAGAGAACCACCCCCCGATGTACTTTACCCTCTACTTCCTCATCACCCGCCTCCCTGAGACTCTTTGCTCAGTCAAGGACCACTTCCTCGCCCTTGAACCCCATTCTCTCACTGTCAACGACCTCGAGACGCACCTCCTAGCAGCCGAGAAGAACATTCTAGTTGTAGGTGCTGCTCGTGGTACTCCCCGCACTCCCCTCTTTGAGGGGTGCTCCCCCTCCCCTCTCACCCCCTCCTACGCCTCCGCAGCTGCTGCTGTCGACCTCCTTGGTGCTGAGAAGGTCGCAACTGCTTCCGCTCCTAGTGGGAAGCGCAGCGCCTCCAGGGGAGGCAGGGGTGGCAGGGGTGGCGGACGTGGTGCTGGAGGGGGCGGTAGTGGAGGCGGGGGGGGCGGTGGGGGTGGTGGGGGTGGTCGTGGGGGTGGAGGTAGTGGTGGGGGCGGTGGTGGTGCAGGGAGCAGTGGCGGTGGTGGCGGAGGGGGGAGTGGTGGTGGCGGCGGTGGTGGGGGCTTGGGTGAGCCCGGTAGCAGCAGCGTCAGCGCCAGACCCTCACTTTCCAGCAGCTTCTTGACTGGTATGCCGGACGTGGGGCGTCTGGGGGTCCTGGTCGCTACACCTATATCATTTGCACAGGTCCCCGCCAGTGAACAGGCTTTCACACTGAGTACCGCTGTTTAGTTTGGCTTAGCGACGCCTGGCGCGTCAAGTTTCCTGATGCTACTAAGTTCCCCAACTGGGCAGACCTGCTTAGGCGTGATGTACCTATCTATGATCTTGACTATGATGCTATTCTTGCTGCCATGTTTGCATTGACTGTTAGTGCTGAGGGTGACTGCTACTTGTGTGTGCCGCCTGACCTCGGTATATCCCCAGGTATAGCGCCTGCAGCCCTAGGTGCTTGTGAGTCTACTCTCCCTGGTACTGAGTCCGCACAGGCCTTGCACACCTTCACACTTGACTCTGGTGCTTCCCGCTGTTTCTTTCGTGGCAGCACCACGGTCACTCCCCTCCCTGCACCTGTCCCTGTCTCACTGGCTGGCCCCTCTGGGGGCCTAGTGCTTGCACGGTCTTCCACTGTGCTTCCGTGTCCGGCGGTCTCATCTGGTGAGCTGTCTGGTCCCCACCTCCCCTCGTTCTCTATGAACTTGGTGAGCAACGCCGTCCTTCACGATCATTGGGTTGACACCTTTACTCCTGGAGGATAGCGTGTGGCAATCTGCACGTGCTCCCGGACCGGCCGTCATCTGGCCACGTTCACACGTGCGCCTGGGTCCAGTCTGTACACCCTCACCACTACGTCGCGCTACCTCCATTTGTCTCCCCAGCTGTACGCGTCTGCTCAGGTAGCTACCCAGTGTGAGTGTCACTGCTTGTCGCACGCCACCCTCCTGTGGCACCACCGCCTTAGTCATCCCTCCCTGCCTCGCCTTTGTAGCATGCACTCTCGTTTCCTGGTCTCTGGCCTTCCCAGGTCTCTGCCCGCCCTCCCTCCCTCGCCTGCGCCGCCCTGCATTCCCTTCGTCGAGGGGCGGCAGCGCGCCGCCCCTCACTCCTCCTCGTTCCCTCCCACAGAGGCTCCACTGCAGACTCTCCACCTGGACGTGTGGGGCCCAACCCGCGTCCGTGGACAGGGCCATGAGCGGTACTTCCTGCTGGTCGTCGACGACTATACGTGTTACACCACGGTCTTCCCCTTGCAGACCAAGGGGGAGGTCCCTGATGTTTTGATCCCCTAGATCCGCGCTATTCGTCTCCAGCTCCGCGAGCGGTTCCACTCGGACTTTCCTGTCTTGCGTCTGCACTCTGATAGAGGTGGTGAGTTCTCCTCAGACCTCTTGGCAGCCTTCTGTGCGGAGCACGGCATCCGCTAGACGTTCACGCTTCCAACCTCTCCGCAGTAGAATGGGGTTGCTGAGCGCCGCATTGGCTTAGTCATGGAGGTCGCTCGTACCTCCATGATCCATGCGGCTGCCCCCCATTTTCTTTGGCCGTTTGCGGTCCGCTACGCTGCGCATCAGCTCAACCTCTGGCCTCGTGTCTCCTTGCCGGAGACCTCGCCCACACTGCTGTGGACGGGTAAGGTTGGCGATGCGTTGGTGTTCCGGGTCTGGGGTGATCGTGCCTTTGTCTGCGATACCACCGTGGAGAAGCTCTCCGCTCGCGCCATTCCATGCGTCTTCCTTGGCTTTGTCCCTGACGTGCCTGGCTGGCAGTTTTACGACCCCGCCTCGCGCCGTATCTTTGCGTCTCAGGACGTCACCTTTGACGAGTCCGTCCCCTTTTACCGTCTCTTTCCCTACCGCACTGACCCTCGCCCCCACCCCCTTGCCGCTCTTTCTCGCACCAGGTCCTCCCCAGGTAGACCCCCTCCCCGCACCAGGTCTTGCTCCTTCTGGTGTTTCTCAGGTAGACCCTCCCGTGCCTGCGCCTGTTGAGGTCACTGGTGACTCAGGTCCTGCTGGGGGTGGTCCTGCTTGGGGTACTGTCTCTGGGGGTGCGGAGCTAGGGGGTGCGGAGCCTGAGCATGAGGAGCCTGGGGGTGCTGAGCCTGGGGGTGCGGCGCCTTAGCGTGAGGAGCCTAGGGGTGCTGAGCCTGAGCGTGAGGAGCTTGGAGGTGCTGAGCCTGAGGGTGAGGAGGCTCGAGGTACTACGCCTAGGGGTGTTGCATCTGGGGGTGCTGAGCCTGAGCGTTAGGAGCCTAGGGGTACGAAGTCTGGGCGTGCTGTGTCTGGGGGTGAGTCGCCTACGGTTCCTGAGTTTGCTGCTGTGCGGTCTCCTTGGAGTAGCCGCCTTCGTCCGCGTGTGCCTCTCACCTCACAGCAGCTGCACGGCTGGTACGGTCGCCGTCAGGGTCGCGCTTCTGAAGCTCGGGGCTCTACTGCTGGAGGTACTTTTGCTGACGTCACTGGAGCCGGGAGTGGTGCTGGTCCTTCGTCTACTGGTGCTGGAGCTGTTGGAGGTGCTGCGGGCATTACAGGTGGTGCTACAGGAGTTGGAGCTGCAGGTGGTGCTGGAGGTGCTGGAGGTGCAGGTGGAGCTGGTGGAGCTACTGGTGGTGCTGCTGGAGTTGGTGCTGGCGCTGGGGGTACTGGTGATGTTCCTGCTGGTTCTGGGGGTGCTGAGCGGCCGTGGCCGTACTTCATTCCGCTCCTTGAGCAGGTTCTTGGTCTCCCGTCTTCTCCTGGTCCTGCCCCCTCCCTAGAGTGTCCGTCGCCTGTCCTGTCGCACCCACAGCTACAGCTCGCCTCCCCTCTGCTTGCTCTGTCTCCTTACACTGGTCTGACTGGAGGTCTTGCTGAGCGTCGTGAGCCTGCGTCTCGTCCTGCGTCACGTGTTCGTGCCGCTCGCACTAGTGGTCGTGGTTCGCGTCCTCCCTCGTTACGTGGCTCGTGGCTTCAGTCAGCGACAGGGAGTTGACTACTTTCAGACCTTCTCTCCCACCCCGAAGATGACTACTCTTCGGGTACTACTGCTACACGTCACTGCTCAGCGTGACTACGAGCTCCACTCTCTTTACTTCAGCACAGCCTTCCTTCAGGGCAGCCTACACGACGAGATCTGGCTGCGCCGCCCACCTGACTTCACTGGGTGGTTTCCTCCTGGTACCCAGTGGAGTCTCTGGCGACCAGTCTACGGTCTCCGCCAGGCACCCCGTGATTGGCACGACACACTGAGGACTACACTGGCGGCACTTGGGTTTTCTCCTTCTACTACTGACCCGTCGCTGTTTCTACGCACCGACACCTCACTGCCGCCGTTCTACATCCTCGTGTACATTGACGACTTGGTTTTTGCCACTACTGACACTAGGGCACTGACTCTAGTGAAGTCGGAGCTACAGAAGAGACACACGTGCACAGACCTGGGTGAGCTACGCAACTATCTTGGCTTGCAGATCACTCGGGACAGAGCACGCCGCACCATCACCCTGACTCAGTCACACATGGTGCAGCAGGTCCTTCAGCGCTTCGACTTCCAGTTTTCCTTGCCACGGTCCACTCCTCTGCCTACCGGTCACTCGCTCTCAGCTCTGCCTTCGGATGAGTCCGTAGAGCCGAGTGGCCGTATCCAGAGCTTGTAGGCTGCCTCATGTACCTGATGACCTGCACTCGTCCTGACCTTGCTTACCCTCTTAGCATCCTGGCACACTACGTTGCGCCCGGGAGACACCGTCCAGAGCACTGGAAGGCAGCTAAGAGGGTGATGCGCTACTTGTGCAATACGTCGGGCATGGGGCTTGTGCTTGGGGGACGGGGTCTAGTTGTTCTCTCTGGTCACGCAGACGCCTCTTGGGTTGACGACTTGGCTACAAAGCGGTCGTCACAGCCTTGGCTCCGGTTCAGTCTCTTGGCGGTCTACTCGCTCGTCTTCCGTTCTCAGCTCCAGTTGTGAGGCTGAGATCCACGCCACAGCCATGGCTGCACAGGAGCTGCGTTGGCTCACCTACTTGTTGACCGACCTGGGCAAGGCACCTCGTTCTCCTCCAGTTCTGTACATCGACAACAAGGCAGCCACTACCTTTTGTGAGGAGCACAGAATGAAGCACATCGCTCTGTGTTACTTCCTGGCTTGAGATTTGCAGTAGCGGGGTCAAATTTGTCTTACTCACGTGGCCACTCGGACCAACACTGCTGATATATTCACCAAGGCTCTTCCGTCTGGTATCATCAGCGCTTTTGTGCTTTGTTGGGCCTTGTGCCTACGTTTCCTCACTTGCTGTAGGCTCTGCGTGTACTGTGATCTATACATATATGTATATAAATGTATATATATACCTGTTTGTTTGTACCTGGTAGGTACAGATCACTGTGCTGTTGTTGTTGCATATATATCTCTGCATATGAACTGACCTTGTGGCCCTTTGTTTGTGCTCAGTGTGTGTGGTGACGTTGTGATCCACCCTGAGCCTGCTTTGCTTTTCTTGACTGGTCTTGTGACCTCTTGCTCTCCCCCACTTTGCCTATGGGGGTGTGTCTAAGATATGCATATATATTATATTTGTTGGTAGGCTGTAGTGGGGTAGACTTTGAGGGGTATATCACCTTGTACCTTTCACTCGATAGTCAACTCTTTCATGCCTAAGTTCCTAAGACAAAGTTGCTTTCACGAAACTTTTGTTTTGCAAGAAAAAAGTCTAGGTCAAACGCTTCTTTGTTGGGGTTACAGGGAAAGTGGCTTTCCCACAACTTTCCCGCAGCTTTCTAGCAACGGGTCCCGCAACACTGCCGCAACACGCTCAGCGTCATGGGGGCCGCTTTTACGTCATGTGTTCGTCGGTGACATTTGCGTCACCGTGATGACACTCCACGGTTACACATGTGTGTTGCCACATAGCTGCATTGAAGCATACATGAAGTCACTATTCTACGTCAGCAAAATATCTCCACGTGTAATGACGCTTTATGCCAGGTGGATGCCCTTCCCTAACGAATCGTGTCGTGCCGCATGTAGGTTCTAGATGGCCACACTTGTACGATGGCGATTGTCTCATGGCAATCAGGGTTTGCCAAACAGGAGCCGGCACATGGCTGCTCCGGATACGCCGCCAACCTACAAAACTCAAACGGATACGCCACATCGCGACCTTCCGTACGTTACAAATGTTCTCCCAAGATTTGTAGTGCAATCCACCTGTACCTACACATGCAGCCCGATCGGAGATACTCCAAGTCCAACTAGGACTACATCTGCCAATCTCACATACACGTGAGATCGTCGCGGACCTCACGATAACACACATGTGACCATCTGCATCACCCATGTGGCAAACATAAAATTGGACACTGATGCCGGCACCCTATAAGTAACGTATCGTTGACGAGTGGCTGGGAGGGATGTACGGTTGCTCTTTCTCCACGTCTTTAGACTAGCATGGCATTTGACGGCCCCTATTAACCCCGCCGTATTTCTCGCCGCACATTGCGCCATAATTCTCGCCGTGATGCGCGGAACTGTAGTAACACCATTCTCGTGTCTAGGTTGACCACGGTCTCCTCCATGTGTTAAAAGAATCCAACATATATGTCCTCGATTTATTGCACATATGCACCGAACGAACAACAAATACCGCCTCCTCCCACTAAGGCACTACACCAATCTACGACACATAATTGGCCAAACAACCCTAAGTAGGGCACTCATCGGATTCACTCTCCAACTCATCAGACTCATCGAACTCCTGATGGTCATCTTTGGAGGATGCTTCATCTTCCAGGAGGCATTCCAGGCCGCAAGATGATAGACGGAGCCCATGCCTGCCCCACTTCCAGGACTTCTTTTCCTCATCGTAGGCCACTTCATTCCCGCACATGACATCTGCAATGGCATCAAAGGCCAGCTTCTGAATTCGGCGCACAGAAGCGCCGTCCTCGTACGGAGGGTTGTAGAGTTTCCCCTTGCACACCTCCCAGTTGATAATGGCGTCCGTGATCTGCGACGGCAAAAAAAAAACACACTTAGAACGGAGGCTTGTACGGACGTGGCTACAACAAATGTGCGCAACAGTGTAAACGTACCAGGTGCTCGAGCCACGACATGTGGTAGAGCTTTAGAGTTGTTTCTTTGTCAGAGCGCTTCCCTCTGAACGCTGCGATGGCACATGCCGAGAACGCTCCAGAAGCAAAGGGCAGTCCTTCCTTGCTGATGTGCCAATTGCACAAGGCAGGTTCCGCTGCGCACGTGGAATATAATATGGGTACAATGATACCGCGCATGGGGGAGGGAGAGGGTTCAATGGCCGTAGTGGTCCACTATGGCATGGCACTCATGCCGGCCCTCAATGCACCGACCATATGACACGCGTACACGCACCATCGTCTGTGACGGGAACGCCATATCTTTTTCGGGCACTCTCCCCAGTGCGCTCCTTCTTACGAGCCCAAGGACTGGCTCGGTCCTCGTCGTCACGGAATAGACCCATCCGGGGAAGAAAAACTCCGCGAGCGCGACCGGCCAACCCTGTTTTGTGCTCTGACAAGGTCTTGTTCCGATCCTGCCTTCGAGACTTATCCGCGTCTAACGCCAGTGTCGCAGTTTTGGGAGGAATGGTGGACATGACATGGCAGACGCCGGCGTTTTTGGCGTCGCGGCTCGGATAGAAGTCCATCTTCTCGTTCGGGGCTTCTAGAAATAGATGATCCTTTACCAGGTCGCAAACACCCTGCGACAATGAAAATAGTGTTGCGGGGGGGGTGGAATATGGTGACGAAATCTGTATTGCTGTTGAGTACCCTACCATGAAGTTACCAGAGCACACTATGCGAAGCCTCACCTTCCAAGCCTTCTCTGCGGAAAGGATTTCAAGGGCGCTTTGGAGCACTAGCGACTTGTCGGTAGTCATGTGCCTCGCCACTTTTGCCGGCAACTCGTCTTCATCGTACGTGGATTCCTCGTCATCATCTGACTGGCGTTTCCGCTTCAGAGCTTCCTTGCCAAGAGTGGCCGCCGCACCCGGAGATGCCCGCTTGCGCTTGCGCCCCTCGCCAAGGGCAATGATTGTTAGTACGTGTGACTCCAGACGAGCCATTGTCTTCGCGGTATCCTTCGCAGACACGCAACGCCTCAAACTCCTTGCGTGTGACGTGGCCACCGGTTGCTGCTTTCCGCTTCCTCGAAGATGGCACTTTCGGGGCGTGCTCGTCCTCTGATCCGTCTTCCCCACACGGATCGTTGCTTGACGACTGACCACCAGCGTGTCCCTCCTCGTTGCCCTCCTCTTCGCCTTCCATTAACTCGTCTATCAAGCGTTCCTTCACGGCCTCGGTGTCGACCCCCACAGGGGGTGCGCTCGCGACAATGGGCGTGGAGGTTGCCTCCGCGTCGACGCCCCCGACAACCTTGGCGTTGCATAGCTGGAGCGGCAGTTCTTGAGCCTCTGGGACAATGGGTGTGGAATGTAGTACGATGTTAGTTTTGCGTGCACATACGGCCTCACTCCCAGTGTCATGCATTATCACGTCAACAGCAAAGGCCATATAATTGTCACGTCGCCCAAGTGTTACCTTCGTTATGCTCTGCCTCCTTATCCTCCTTGTCACTCTTAACTGTACTAGTCTTGCGCCACTTGGGCTCCGTTACGCTTCCCCCTTTCTTCTTCCTCTCCGGGTATTGATATGTATACGCCAACCATGACGGCGCATTCTTCGTTCGCTTGGAACGACCGCCCTCTGCAGGACTCATCTCGACCTCCAGCGGAGACAGAATCAAAGACCACATACACCGCGGGCTCGAAACTGCGTGGGTAAAAACCAGCTTGGTGTTCTACTCACGCTCGCACGAGTCCCATCACCACCCTCGAGGATATCGCGATGCCTGCTACCGGGTTTGCAGGCCCCATAAATTGCCCCAACTTATTGGCCACGCGCACACATGTACACATGTCACGGTTGGAGTGGCCAGGTGGATTACCATTCAATGTCAGCCATACTTTGCACATGGAAAATGTGGTCGTGCCACGATCGAGACACCCCATGCTCGTCCTCGTCTATGTTAGACGCGATACACCACACACCCACAGCATCATTTCACCACTTGCGACATCTGCTTCTTACCACATAAATTCAATCACAAACTGATGCTGTACCACTTGCCACAATGGTTTTTCCATGTTCTACATCTGTCCCCGTATACGGTGATGCGACATATATTTACAGCGTCCAGACTGAGACATTTCACATGTCGTATTACATTCAGCAACCTCCAAACCACGCCAAACTAACCTGCACCCGTACCCAGGCCTGACAAGATCAGCACTTATCTAAAACATCGGTTGGTCCAATGGCTTCCCTATTCATGGCTTCATGCAGCAGTGTCATCATGGTTGACCTCCTCCCAGTCATCCTCATCCTCTATGCCATCGCCCTCTGGTTCATATACAACATCATCGTCAACGGACTCCTCGTGTGGATCCTCAGGTTCTTCAGCCATAGGGTGGTCCTGTGTAGCGGGCGTGGTCGCCTCCACCTCCTCCACGTCATGCATGACTCGGGAGACCCGCCCCTTTCGCCGCGAACGGGCCTCGGGCGGCTGGGCATCATCTAGACCCTCCAGAGCGGCTCTCCACTCCTTCCATCTGTTCCAGCGCCTGTACTTCATGAGAAGCCTTAGGCTCTCCTCAGTGCAGCCGGCTAGCGCCTGCCTCTCCCCGTCGGACAGCTGCACCGTGCAGCTGATGCGGGAGTTAGAATAAGCTACTGTAATAGCAACAAATTAGATGAGTTTGAGCCAGCGTCGATCCAGGGACTCACCTCCATGGTCACCGTTGTGGCTTTGATAAGCGCATGTCTAGCCGCCTCTTTGTCCACCTCCGGATGATCTGGTTGGCACTTGAGGTGTAGTAACCTGCATCCGTTCGACGGGGGGAATGTAACAGAGCTGAAGAGGCTGTGTGTCAGCCTTCTCTATTCCGCCGACGGCGCACAACGCTTCAGGCCCATTGTTGTAAGCCGCGATTGGGAGCCAATGCAGCTGGGATACGATGTGAATGGCGACGAGTGGGCGTACATCCGCCGTACTCGGTCCGGCCGCATAACACCCGAGGTGATGCCGATCTACATGACAAATAAATGTCTCCGCCATATGGACTTGAGTAGTTGGTGCCTATTAAATATCTCTGTGATACTCTTTATTGTTCTGTGCAGCTGTTCACACAGTTCATGCTTGGCCTCAACGCTGCGAAATCGGCCGAGGCCCATGACATCGCCGTCCTTGTGTCCTCGCGTAGGCACAAGCTCACATGGGGAGAGGGCAAGCTGTAGACGAATGGGCCGTTCCTGGAGCACCACCTAACCCATACTCGCATTGTGCAGCTGCATGATACTATTCCGGACGTGGGGAACCCGGTGGTGCAGGGCATTGTTGCATTCTTTAAGTCTGAATTCCGTTCAATGTGGGTGGACCACCAGACGCGCTTCATGACGCGCGTGCCTCCAGCATAGGTGTGGAAGAGTAACTCTCCTTCGGCCGCGAAGACATTGCAGTGGATGTACGAAGCGCTTTGGGGGGTGGCGACATCCCACATTCAGCTCACGTTTTGGCGCACTAGGTGCGTCCCGGACGATTGGTTATCTCAGCTTCACGCGATCACCAGCGACATGCATGTCGAGGTTGTGGAGCAACTCGTTGCTAACCTCATGGGCCTGCAGAGGAAGCTGGAGAAGTTGGACCTCCCTGACAGCGTGCTGGAAGCAATGGACTATGCGACTTGGGATGACGAAGTTGACGAGGTTACGACCGAAGGCGTTCTTGAGCCGGTCATCAGTCTCGTAGATGATACAAGCAGTGACGGCCGCGTCTCATGGGATGACATGGCTCATCGCACGTTCATGCGTATGGCATCTTTTGCCTACACAAGGCTTGCCAGCGCAAAGGGAGTTGCTCCGCGTGACGTTGTCACGCTTAAGCGCCTGGGGAACCCGGACCTTGTGGACCGTCTGATGTGCACACCAGAGAAGAAGGTGCGGAGGCAGTCCTACGCGCCTTCGCCGTCCATATCTCCAACGGCCAGCGAGGAGATATGCTTCTAGTCCCCTTCGACATCCCTGTGTAGCGTTTGTGAGAATAACAAGTAATGATTGCATTGAGCAGCATGAGGAGTACAAGTACCAAACCCTAGAGTGTTGTACCCCATATAAGCTACCCCACTACAGCCTATATAGACTAAAGCATATAAGTTTGACACACCCCCATAGGCAAAGTGTGAGAAAAAGGGGTCACAAGACCAGTCAAGCAAAGCACAGCAAGCTCAGGGTGGATCACAACGTCACCACACATTCTGAGCACAAGTTCAAGGGCCACAAGGCCAGTTCACATGCAGGTGTATATATATAAAGCTAAACATGCAAGTGCAAGTATATATAGGTCAAGGTACAAGCAAGGTCAAGAAGTGAGCAAGTGAGGCAAAGTAGGTACAAGACCTCACAGAGTACAGAAGCGCTGATGATCACAAGGCGCAGGTGCCTTGGTGAAGATATCAGCAGTGTTGGCCTGAGAGGCCACGTAAGCAAGTCGTAGCTGACCATGCTGCTGCAGCTCACGAGCAAGGAAGTAGCAAAGAGCAATGAGCTTCGTTCTGTGCTCCAGTTTGTGCTCACGACATAAGGCCATCATGACCTTGTTGTCTACGTACAGAACTGGAGGAGAACGAGGCGACTCTCCGAGGTCAGTCAGCAAGTAGGTGAGCCAGCATAACTCCTGTGCAGCCATGGCCCCTACGTAGATCTCAGCCTCACAGCTGGAGCTGAGAACAGAAGACGAGCGGGTAGACTGCCACAAAACAGAACCGGAACCAAGGCTGAAGGTGTAACCCTGTGACGACCGCTGTCTAGCCAAGTCGTCAACCCAAGACGCGTCTGCGTAACCACTGAGGACCACTGGACTCCGCCCTCCAAGCACAAGCCCCATGCCCGACGTACTGCACAAGTAGCGCAACACCCTCTTCGCTGCAGCCATGTGCTCTGGTATGTGTCTCCCAGGAGCAACATAGCATGCGAGAATGGTAAGAGGGTATGCAAGGTCAGGTCGTGTGCAGGTCATCAGGTACATGAGGCAGCCAACAAGCTCTGGATAGGGACCACTCGACTCTACGGACTCATCCGAAGGCAGAGCTGAGAGCGAGTGGCGAGTAGGCAGAGGAGTGGCCTGAGGCGAGGAGTACGTGAAGCCGAAGCGCTGAAGGACTTGCTGCACCATGTGTGACTGAGTCAGGGTAATGGTGCAGCGTGCTCTGTCCCGGGTGATCTGCAAGCCAAGGTAGCTGCGCAGTTCACCCAGGTCAGTGCACGTGTGTCTCTTTTGCAGCTCGGACTTCACGTGGGCGAGTCCAGCAGTGTCAGCTGTGGCAAAGACCAAGTCGTCGACGTACACGAGGATGTAGAGCGGCGGCAGAGAAGTGTCGGTGCACAGAAACAGCGACGGGTCGGCAGTAGAGGGAGCAAACCCAAGAGCCGCAAGTGTATTCCTCAGTGTGTCGTGCCACTCACGCGGTGCCTGGCGGAGACCGTAGACTGGCCGTCGGAGGCTCCACTGGGTGCCAGGAGGAAAAGTCCCAGTGAAGCCAGGTGGGCGGCGCAGCCAGATCTCCTCGTGCAGACTGCCCTGCAGGAAAGCAGTGCTGAAGTCAAGAGAGTGTAGCTCGTAGTCACGGTGAGCAGCTACGTGCAGCAGTACCTGAAGAGTGGTCATCTTTGGGGTGGGAGAGAAGGTCTGAAAGTAGTCAACTCCCTGCCGCTGACTGAAGCCACGAGCCACGTAACGCGCCTTGAAGACAGGCGGAGAACCCGGTGGCCGCTTCACCCTGAAGATCCACATGCCACTGACGTTGTTCGCCCCAGGTGGGGGAACCTCATCAACGTAGGATCCTTTAGACTTCTAGGAAGCCATCTCTGCGTCCATGGCAGCTTGCCACTGAGAGGAGTAGGGACACTCTATCGCCTCCGCGTAAGTCGACAAGCTCAGCAACTAAGGCAGACGCAGCAGTGGTCTCAAAGGAAGGGTCAATGAAAACATTAGCAAGGAGACGCGTGACAGTAGGACTGGCAGCACGAAGGGAGTCCGACTGCGGGTCTGCAAGAGGAGGAAGAGAGGACTCACGAGGAGAAGGTAAAGGGGCACGCAGTGGAGCAGTGGAAGGACGCAGAGACATCCGGTGCGTGCCGGGGACAGGTGGAGGACGCTGACGCGAACCACGACCACCAGTGCGAGCAGCACGGACAGGCGACGCAGGGCGAGACGCAGGCGTACGACGCTCAGCAAGACCTCCAGTAGGACCAGTGTAGGGAGAAGGAGCAGGCAGTGGGGAGGCTGGCTGTAACTGTGACTCAGACTGGACTGGCGACAGACACTCTAAGAGAGGAGCAGGACGAAGAGAGGACGGAAGACCAAGAACGTGCTCAAGGAGTGGAACGAAGTACGGCCGCGGCCGCGCAGGGCCACCAGAACCAGCAGGAACAGCACCAGTAGCACCCTCAGCTCCAGCAGCGCCAACTCCAGCACCTCCAGTACCCTCAGAAGCACCCGCGCCAGTAGCACCTCTAGCGCCAACACCCCCAGCAGCTCCAGCTCCAGTTGGACCACCAGAAGACGCAATAGCTCCAGCTCCAGCAGCACCGACGCCAGCAGCACCACCAGCTCCAGCACCAGGAGCACCCGCAAGCCCAGCAGCTCCAGCAGCATCCTCAGGACGAGCACCTCCGGGACCCGCGGCACCAGCACCCTCAGTAGCAGTAGAACCTCCAACACCCGCAGCACCTCCAGCTCCAGCAGCACCTCCAGCTCTAGCAGCACGGCTCCAGTGCCAAGCAAACCACTCGCGCGGCTCTTGTGGAGAGAGGGGATCTCGCCGGGACGAAGCACCCAAAGGACCTCCAGGCCCTGTCCCGCCAGACGCCACATGAGCAGGCTCAGCACCCCCAGGCTCAGCACCCCAAGTCTCAGCACCCCCAAGCTCAGCACCCTCAGTCTCAGCACCCCCAGGCTCAGCACCCTCAGAGTCAGCAACCCCTGGCTCAGCACCCCCAGCAGCACCCGAGTCAACAGCAACCTCGACAGGCTCGACTGCGTCTACCTAGGACACACCTGAGGGGGCAAGACCCCGAGGGGGAAGGGGGTCTACCGGGGGGGGGGACCTGGCGTGAGGAAGAGCGGCGACGGGGGGAGGAGTGCAGTGCGGTAGGGGAAGAGACGCTAGTAGGGAACCGACTCGTCAAACGTGACGTCCTGAGAGGACAGAACACGGCGCGAGGTGGGGTGGTAAAACTGCCAACCAGGCGCGTCAGGGGGTAAGCTAAGGAAGACGCAGAGAACAGCACGGGGGGACAGCTTGTCCGCAGACAAGTCGCGAACGAACGCCCGAGATCCCCAGACACGGAACGCAGACGCATCGCCAACCTTCCCCGTCCATCGCAGAGTAGGGGAGGTCTCCGACATGGAGACCCGGGGCTAGGGGTTGATCTGATGCGCCGCCTACTGAACCGCGAACGGCCACAAAAAATAGGGAGCAGCCGCATGGATCATGGACGTACGAGCGACGTCCATGATCATGCCAATGCGGCGCTCAACAATCCCATTTCGCTGTGGAGAGGCCGGAAGTGTGAACG